ATGGCATAACATAAACTATCTTGCATTGACAATGCTACATAACAACTTAATCTCAACTTAACATTTCATTCACCACCACTTCAATCACTATTCCTAGACCAAATATACATGCTCACCAAACCATCTTACTGCATAATATGAATCCACAAATCTCAATCCTCACCTTAGCCACAAAGTATCTGAAATATCTGGAACTGCATTATGAAAATAGCGGTTGAAAATAGCGTCTCAATTATGCATTTGAGTTTGAACAGAAACAATGTTCCTTGACCAGAAAGAAACGCATATATATAACTTACATAATTTATATCGGATCGGGAATCTAAAACCTGATAAGGATTCCTTGCAACAGTGTCTTTACAGATACACCAAGATCATACTCTGAAACCTTCTAGATCAACGGCAAATAGCGTCCAAACTTAGCTCTGCGAAAGTGGGAAAAACATGCAATTGTGAGACAGAGAGTTTTTCCAACTTTAAACTTGATTTCCGGATTGTCCTTACCTCGGATTTCAATTATAAAAACAGCTCATAGCTTTCCAGGGATATAAGGATCATCATCCAACTCCATCTTATCTGGTTGGAAAACGCTTTCGAAGAAGGCTATCCGCAGCTTCACTCTGCACATATCAGTCCAAGAGAAACACAAATAACTTTCAGTTCATAACTTTGAATGACAAAATTATTTTGACTAAAGCTATATATACGAGTTATGAATCTCCTTACCAAATTCGACGAAACCGCAACACCAATTCTCCTCTGACTGGTCAGAAATTCTCAGAGCAAATAACAACTACGAGAAAAAAAAAACATAACTTTCATATCACAACTTCAAATGACAAAACACTTTCTGACTTGGGTAAATAAGAGAGTCTGAAAGACCCTTACCAAGATTCATATTGATCTGAACAGTTATGATTCTCAGTTTCTATGCCCCACCGAAACTAGTCAGATATGCGGTTGTTTGAGAATAAGAATATATTGCGACAGACAGATAGAACATGCCATAAATTTCACCACAGAACTTTGATCGGGACGACATTGGACTTTCTGTAGAGCTGGGACTCGGGGCTTTCCATGGATAGGCAGATCGTCACGCAGTTCCAAACGGTTCGTCGGAAAAACATCACTCAAGATGGTTGAGTAGTTCTGTTGCAAGTGGCGGCTAGGGTTCACGAGGTGAAGAGCAAAATGGGAAGGGCTTCGCCGCAGCAGCACACTTTGGTCTTAAGTCTCATATCCTCTCCCTTTATATAGACATGATTAGGGTTTTTGATTGGTTAAACAGGCTTGATTGGCTCGCTAAGCTTTGAGGAAGAAACATTATAAGTCCAATCCATTTAAGTCTCTTTTTAAATGGAATATTTCTTATATTTCTTTTTGCATGTTCGGTCCAAAAATATTTCCGCTCAAAAATTAAAAAATCCTCGGGACAGGACTGTGACAACATAAATCAACTTGGTAATATAACGATAGACTCATAGACACACTGGCTACGTTATGGTTTTGCTTAGGGGTGGGAAAAAATATCCATAACCGAAAAAACGAACTGAAAAATGATAAAAAGGTTTTTCTAAGTCTAAGATTTCAAACCTAGAATCACTAATTTGATGTAGAATAGTGAGGTTCGTTCAAAGGGACCAGCAATACACTCTAATCTTTTGAGATACAATTTCAGCTAAGCGATCAAGTGGTTTTAAGTTGTCACGATTCGAAAGCAAATAAGTAAATTCGGTGTAAGCAATGATAATAAAGACGTTAGGCTAAGGGAGAATATCTTAGGGATTAGATCATCTAGAACCAAACAATTATTCAAGATATCAATTAAGAACCAATCTAGAACTCAACCATAAAAATAGGAGGATCCACTATCGTGGCATCAACCACTTCATCAATCAATCTAACACCCTAAACTGTCGTTTGAGATTACAAAGAATGATGAGCATTATAGAGGATGGGATCGATTTGTTCACAACTCACCTTAACTTCAACTGTCGTTGGCTAAGGACGAATC